TCTCTTCACCAAACACTTCTACTCGAAATGGAAGTAAGCCCAACAATTATGAAACAAGAGATTCCTCTAATCCAACTTTTCTTCGTATATAAGTTACTGTATTGTGACATGACTTTCCATTTTGAATGGAAAGTTGGTTGGAAGAACTTCGGGATGTGGTCTCATCGCAAACCGAAGGAGGGTAAAAACGTAGGGAAGACTGATGAATTGTGCGGAGAAGTCGTCAGCTCACCATCCTACGACCCTGATGAAACTGTGCTAAGCCTCTTTGAACAATTCAGTAGTCTTCTCTACGCGAAAATCTTCCTTCGCTTTCCGGTGAGACCACATCACGAATTCCTTTCAACCAACTTTCCCTTCGAAATTAAAAGTAATTTCACATTTAATCACTAAGGGATTCTTTGAAACCCAGTTTTTATGCATAATTTAATACTACTACTACATGCTTGCTGTTACTTCAACAACAGCAAGCAAAAAACAATCCTCCATGGCTTTCTGGCGGAATAGAGTGGTGAATATCACCATTTCGTAGCATCATAAAAGACAGCTTCGGTCCAATAATAATATTTAGTGAAGTTCATATAAAACCCTCTTTACTGTATAAACAGACATTCTATTTTGTCCGTGATGATACGAGTTGTTCTATTAAAAATACAAAAGATACCAATCGTGTTGTAATAAATACCAAAATCCCACAAAAGCAAAGCGCTGATAATCATTCACCTAGCTTATTTGTAGTGCAGAGCTATAAGCGCAAATCTAATGACAAATATAAATGAACTATATTCTCCCCATTTCATTTAAGGTGATAAGGTGACGGAAAGTTGAATTTTCCCTCAATGATGTGAATCGACTCTACATTTCATTTAAATTCCTCATAGCCTTCCTGTTCCAAAAGGTATTCTCATCCAAACAAGAGTGGACTGCCGTTTCGACCTCTTCCACGTTTTATCATCACCCCCAGCGGGACTCGAACTATGACGAGGCAGCGTATACTCTCAAAAAGTAACATAAAAACGAGAAGTAAATAATGCAGTCGATTAATATAGCAAATACAACTGTGTTTCATCGACAATCCCACCACATAATTGACATGAGAAAATGCATACTTCCCTGAAATGCATATCTGCCCTTTGACCCAAGGGTATTCACGGCAATGTGGCGTAATGGTTAACGTGTCAATATTATACGCCTCACTGTCATAATTCAAGTCCTGCTAGTGGTGGTGTAAGACCTGAGCGAGGTTGAAGCGGCAGTCCACTCTTGTTTGCATTATAATTCATTTTGGGAAAGCAAGGTTATGCGGAATTTAATGGAAATGTAAAGTCTATTCATATAATTGTGGGAAAACTCAATCACCAGCGCCCTTATCACCTTAAACAGGATATGGTGAATACACTTCAAAAATAAATGATCTACTGGTAGTCTCGAAAACCTACGTATAAGCGAAAATCTAGTGACAAATATTCGAAATATAAGAGCAATAACGAATAAAAAGCTAAAGAGGAATCGGTGAAGGTCTTTTAAAAAGAAAGAAAATTGACGGAATATGTTCCGGGGTATAGACAAAAGATAGATCAGAGGTAGGAAGCAAATTAATTTAAGTAAGATCCCAGAGAAAAATATATATTTCGTATAAATATGTCACCTTGACTAAGCGAGTTCCGTAGGCTATATCATGAAGTTTAGCTTCTAGTCGGCGAATTCTTTCCGCTCGGATGTCAAGTAGGCGGGCATATTCGGAGAGTCGACCATCCATTGCCGCCTGTACTTCCGCCAGTCGATCAGATAGCCGCGTCACTTCACCTTGGTAGTCACGGTTGATACGATACTGCACCGTTAATAAACGCCGTGTCTTCTCTAATTCCTCAATGGTTTCTTTAAGCTCCACTTCAGCCGCATGTAGACGCTTGGTGAGATCTGGAATCAAATCGGCAAGGTAGTGGGATATGAATGAATAATCATTAAATGAATATTTAGTCACAAGCCTATAGAATATTTGTACACGGCTATAAAAGCGAGCCACGGCCACGGGTGCCAGACACTGCAAAGTCTTTCAAGTTTGATGTTGGATTAGCCTTCATTTTGTTTGAATAGACGAGTGGAAGAGATTCTTAAGTTGGTTCCACCTGAGGCTATGGGGGTTGCCTTGGAGCTGTGGTTGTAGATTTGTGCGAATACGTCATCGGCGCACGGCACAGCGACCCCGATGAATCCTTGCTGAGCTTTCATCCGTCATGCAACGGACATCATCAGAGCAGGGCACCATGGCTAACGATAATTTGCCCAAAACACGAAGGCAAGAAATAGAACCGGCTTCAAATCCACCTCTTTCTTATATTCTAATTTGGTTCACTTATGCATCTCATGTTTGGGTTGGATATTCTACGCTTTGTCTCTATATTTGCTCATAAGTTAATTTAAGTGGCTGCGGTTGACAAGTGAAGTGGCTACAGATGAAGCGTGAAATGGGTGCAATTGAAACCGATCAGCTGCATCCACCTCTAAAGCACTTATGCCTTTGATTCTGCAATGTTACCCCACGTGATTGCGTCCCATTTCACACGTGTTGTGTGAGTGCATTGCTCTTGAAATGAGTGTGATCTGAGAGTGAAAAGCATATCCCAAACTAATCAAGCCTCCACCCTTTGCTCGGCGATACTTCTCGCTCCCCCTCTCTCTCCCTAAACATATCCAACAGAAGTTAAGAAGACAATACCAAGGACAGTGTTATTTTCGCTTTAAAAGTGGTCCTGATTTCTCATCTCCTCAGTAATTCGTCCATATTCTTCGACAGATTGTACGATGGCAGCATAAGGATTCTGATCTATCTTTTTATCTAGCCCCAAATATGTATTTCCCTTTATTCTATTTTAAAATATTCTAAAATAGTTTTTAACCGGCCCTAATGGGTAATTATTCTCATCCATAATTCGCCTTAGTCTCCTCAGTTCTTGGTCCCGATGTTTAACATCTGCCAGACGCAGGCTCCTTATTATCATAGACTTTATGTATCCTACTTTAACCACATACGTGTGGTTGGAGAAGAAATGTAAAAGTAAACTCGCATTTGTGGGTATCCTATACACATTGCTACCTAATCAAGAAAAGATAAACCACTTCCTTTTCTTACTCAATGGTGAATTTCGTCTTCAAATCGATCCTGTTAATTAAACCAAGAAAATTCTACAGGTTTACTTTTCCATGTTGCCAAATAGCAAATAAGTCGCCTATATAGCGAACAAATATATTAAGAACTAAAAGTGCCTCCTTAATTAACCGTTCCTCAAATTAAGAAATGCAATTATTTGCTAAAATTGGTGGCAAACACGATCCCATAGTTAAACCTCGTGTTTATTCATACAGTTTACCCTAATGGACGACTACTTTGCTATTTGGCAACATGGCAAAGAAAACATGGAGAAATTTCTTGTTTTGATGAACAGGATCGATGGACCACTCACCTCTTCAAACGAAATGAAAGATATCCAACATTAAACTATTAAGGAATTCTTTTAAACCCAATTTTTTCTAAGTCTTTCAAGTTTATTTGATCAATTATCAATTTTGGAAGGACTGTATCTGGTCAAAGATCTTATGCTGGAATAACAGCAAAATAATGAGTAAGGCTGCAGTTCGAGGGTTCTTTAAAATATATTTATGAATATAAAGGAATCTCGAAAATACTATCGTAGATATGAAGACCAAGATGGTGTAGTCGCAGTCCTCTTTAGCTTTGTAGTGTTGGTTAGACCTTGTTTTCTCAACTTGGTTGGAGCGCCAGGGAGACCTTGTGGAACGTAGCAAGTCGCGTGTCCTCTGCCATAGTATTCGTGATTTCCAGCATTGGGCCATTGGTTGGGTACATTCCTAAACGTTTCTACGGCATCGTAGTCGGCATCGTCAGTGAGAGGCGCCATCGTAAGCACATAATTACAACTTATCAGTGGCAAGTGAAGACAATCCTCTTGACCACTTTTCTATTCAACCATTGTGGCATCACTCCTCGCCCCAATTTTTTGTTCTACCCTCTAGTGCCGCATCTCTTTCTCTCAACCCCACTTCATATGGCTTATTCACACAATTCTGTGCTCTCGTTTCCTCCAATGTCGCCTAAGAGGGCGTTGCTACAAGTGGGTTTATGGATGCGTGATCATCACCGCCACCGGTACCAGATGCCGTTTGCAGGGCTCGTGACTTTCATTCTGGCCCGCTTTTTTCCTACCAGTTTGTTGATTGGCTGCTGCTAAACATCAAAATTTCCTTCCTTGATTGCGCCATATTCGAGGATTAAGAGCAGATGATGCCCATGTCCAGGCCAATGCACACGCTAATGCTTGGGAATCTTCCTCTCCCTTGGCTTCAAATCCATGACTCGATTATCTTCTCGCTCATCTCCACCCACATTGTGTCTCATTCTTTGGGGCCCTGTGTTCGGAATAGGTCATAACCGCTAGTGTGAAAATGCACCGCTTCCCTTTTTTCCTTTGAATCGCTAAACGCAATTTTAGCGATACACTCTTAGGTGACATTGAAGGAAACGAGAGCACAGAATTGTGTGAATAAGTGAAAGGTTAAATGAAGTGGGGTTGAGAGAAATAGATGCGGCACTAGAAGGCAGAGCAATAAATAGGGGCGAAGAGGGATGCCACAACGGTTGATCGGAAAAATGGTCAAGGGTATTGCCTTCACCTGCCACTTTGATAAGTTGTAACTCCTTGTTTAGGATGGCGCCTCTCATTGACGATACCTGCGAAACGTTTGGGAATGTACCCAGTCAATGATCCAATGCTAAATATCACGAATGCTATGGAACAGGACACGAGACTAGGTACATTCCACAAGGTCTCCCCGACGCTCCGACCAAGTTTCGAAAATAAGGTTCAACTGTGAATGCACAAGAAAAAAAGAGACTACACAAAATGCTACTCTATCCTGTTTCCCAAAGTGTTGAAAGGAATATGATAGGTCTGTCAGCTAAAAATATACAGCTTTGACAAGGTAGTGAGTTTTGGTATGTCTTTAGGCAGGGAAACATGTATAATATTAACACATAAGATCTCGATCTATCATAGGCCCATTAAAATTATAAAATCTGATTGCTTTTAACCAGTATGAAACTAAAATATTAAAATCAACCATTGTAGATAGCCAAGTCACTTTTATTATAATAAACGAGATTATCAACAATAAGCCCCCCATAAATTAATTTATCGTGATAAAAAGTCAGCCGGATGAAGATGGGACTGTGAATATAATATGCAGTATGTGAAGTATTGTGCAGTACTAAAGATATTTGTGTTTATTCCTTAAGTATAAAAAATGATGTAAGGTAATTTTGCAAGTAGTCTTAGGATCAAAACTGAATTTTTGAAGTTAAGACGGTAGAATAAAGGCCAAAATAATTATTATGAGATATGTTCACCCTATTTCGTTTAAGGTAATGAAGGATTGGTAGTAGAATTTTCGTACAATGATTTGAGTCGAGCTGACGTTTCCATTAAACTTTACATAGCCTTGCTTTCCCAAAAGTTGTTCTCATCCAAGGTGGATTGCAGTTTCGACCTCGCCTAAGTATTAAGTTTAACACTAGCA